GTCGCCGCCCGACGTGTTCGCCGGCTTCGCGCCCCACCCAGCGGCCCTGGGTCCCCCGACGCTGCTGGCCGAGCAGATGAGCGTGATCGGCAGCCGCAAGAAGAGCGTGAACATGACCGAGTGTGTGCCCGTGCCCAGCTCGGAGCACGTCGCCGAGATCGTGGGTCGCCAGGGTGAGTGGCCGCCGTCGGGGCGTCGCCTTCCCCGGAGGGGTTCTTCCCGGTCCCCCCACTCCCTCCACCCGCGGACAGACACTGGACACTTGGACACGCCCCGCGTGGGCTCTGGCCATGAGGCCGCCTTTGCGCCTTTGTCCAGCCGCCGGCAGCGGGAGAAAGTTGGGCGCAGCCAGTGCTCCTCCCCTCGCGCTCTGCCCGCTGCCCCCTTTGTCTGGGCTCCGGGGTGCAGCCGCTGTCCTGGCGCCCCATTGCTGGCCGGGACACCCCGAGAAAAGAGCCTGAGGATCAGTGGTCGGGGCTTGGGCGGTGGGTGCTCCACCCCACCAGGGGGCATGGGGCGGGGCAAGCCCAGATTTTGTTGGGGGGGGGAGGGTTGCAGAAGGGAGGCCACCTCCAGGGTCAGGAGGGAAGTCTGGCACTACAAAGGGGGTACATTCCGGGTACCTCTCAACTGGACCCTAGGGTCAGCCTGCGGTCCCGATTTGGGTGGGAGTGCGCCGGATGACCGAGAACCTTTGTTCCACGCTCCCTCCGCTCCCCAGAACCGGGATCTAAGGGTGCAGAGACTGGGTCTGGAGTGCAATCCTACAGGGCTCCTTTGGCAAGCTGGCCATGGGCAAGCCCCAGAGTGTGGGGGTCCGGGCTGCAGCGTTGTGGGAGCGTCCCTGTTGCCGCCCCATTGTTCTCTTTGTTAAGAGAGCCAGGCAGAGATTCGCAGGGTGACATCAGGCTGGCCGATGCTCATTGGCCCTCGAGCTTCGGGGCGGGCAGGCGGGTGGTGGGCAGTGCCCAGCCCAGCACACACCCACCGCCCGTTAGAGGCCTGGCGGCCTGCCCCACCGCCTCAACTTTCTCCTGCCCTCCAACCCACTGCTCCCACTCCTAGCTCCCTGCCCACAGCCTGCTACCAGCCAAGTCTGAGATCTTAGGGTAGGGTCTGGGTGGGAGTCCAGGTGGGGGTGTGACCATGTCTCTGGAGCCTCTGTAACCTGAGCCAGAGGAAAGATGTCAAGTCTTCAATTGCAAGGTCACCTGACTCCCTGAATTAGACTGAGGACCACATTGATGCCCTCACCACCTCTGCAGCCTTTCTCTACTTCCGGGTGGGTGGGGCAGTTAGCCAGCGAGCCCTCTGTCTTTCATTCGTCTCCTCACTCCAGGGAAGTGAGTGGGGCGTTGTGCCAGACCTAGAGACCCACCATGAGGAGTGGCAGATGGTTGGTTCTCTGAGCCCCGTGTAACAGCCCCCTCCACACTGCCACTGCCTTCCTATTTAGCCTCTTCACCCCTGTTCCTTATAACGGTACCTTGGGAACTTTAGCACAGCTGTCAGGTAGTGGAGCCTCTGGGCAGTGGAGGGTGAGGTGTGGCTCTGTGTGAATTGAGAGGTCCCACACCTGAAGACATCTCCAGCTACTCATGTGGTGTCCAGGGTCGGGCAGAGAGCACCTGGCCTTGTGGAGAACTAAGCCTAGATGCACCAGGCCCAGCCCGAGCTCCCGGTGTACATCCAGAATCCTTTGTGAGGTCCTGATGTGGCGGGCCGCAAGGCAACCCCTGCATGTTCACCCCACCCCTGACAGTGGCTGTGACCATTTGGAAATGGCAGCCCCTCTCTGTGATGGGGAGATGTCTCCTTCCTTGGGGTCGTTTCAGAGATGTTCAGATAAGATGCTGGTTTTAGTTCTGTGTCCACGTAACCTCATAGGTGGGAGGTAAGCCCTTTGAATATCAGAACAGGATGTTAACTTGAGTAATCCATGCTTCTAGAACCATCTGTGGCTCCCAGCTTCTCCCACACACCCAGTTCTTAGATACATCTATAAAGGTCCTTCCAGCCCTAGCCCTGCCACTCTGTTCTTCTGATCACCCACCCTATTCTCCACCTTGGTGGTCCTTTGAACTTATTCTTTTATGTCAAATCCCAGGATTTAGCCTGGTACCAGTGGCTCACACCTGTAATGCTAACTACTCAAGAGGCTGAGATCTGAGGATCAAGGCTCAAAGCCAGCCTGGGAAGGAAAGTTTATGAGACTCTTAGTTCCAATTAACCAACAAAATGTTGGAAGTGAAAGTAGAGCTGTGGTTCAAGTGGTAGAGATCTGACCTTGAGCAAAAAAAGCTAAGGGATAGTGTCCGGGTCCTAAGTTCAAGCCCCCAGTAATGGCAACACACACACACCCACACACACCCCAAAAACAAACTAGCCAAGCTAAGGGATAGTGTCCAGGTCCTAAGTTCAAGCCCCCAGTAATGACAACACACACACACACACACAGACACACACACACACCAAAATCAAACTAGCCAGTGAGATTTTTTTTGTTTTTGTTTTTGTTGTTGTTGTTGGTTATGGGGCTTGAACTCTGGGCCTGGGCGCTGTCCCTCAGCTCTTCAGCTCAAGGCTAGTGCTCTACCACTTGAGCCACAGCACCACTTCCGGTTTTCTAGTGGTTTATTGGAGATAACAGTCTCATGGACTTTCCTGCCTGGGCTGGCTTTGAACCAAGGTTCTCAGATCTCAGCCTCCTGAGTAGCTAGGATTACACTTGTGAGCCACCTGTGCCCGGCTTCCTTGAGATTCTTTACCCAATTAACTACCAAAAAAAAAAATCCAGAAATAGTTTTGGACCAAGTGGTAGAATTCTAGCCTTGAAGCACAAAACCTCAGCGACAGCACCTAGACCCCCAGTTCAAGTCCCAGGACTTGAAAACAACAACAACAACACACCAGCAGGTCTAGGGGTACCCATCTCCTAGAGGTCAGGAAAGATACAGCTGCCTGACCTCACCAGTCCCAGAGCTAGTATCTCCCTGACACTTACTGCCGTTTTCTCAGTTGTAGGGTAGGTTCAAAGGCTTTCTGGACCCAGTAGAGTTATTGAGCTTAGGAGGCCCAGATAGGACTCTTATTCCTTGCTGGGCATTTCTCTCTCCGCTCCTCCCCCCCCCCGCCGCTCCCCTGTTTCATGGAGTTCTGGAGACAGGACCATGGCCTTGTGCTTCTATAGGTGCTTCTATAGATCCTGCATTGCTGAGCCACAGCAGGATCTTTATTGAGTGTCTACTATGTAATGCACCTGTTCCAGCCTTGACATGTCCCATATTGCCAAGGATATAATGTAGGCAAAGTCCTGTTATCACTGGGCTCGAGTCAGGGAGGAAGGTCTTTCCCTCATCACTTGACAGGCCTGGACCGAGAAGAATGTCTTCCCAGAACTCAGCTTCAGTCATTGGAGGTCACCCGGGACTCATGCCCACTGTCTTAGGCTCAGTTTGGAACTTGCCACCTGCCTTCAGAGAGGGGGAGGGTCTGGCCACAGTGTGGGTGGGGGGAGGCTTCAGGGGAGGTCAGAGCCAGCTTTGGGTGGTCCCTGGAGCCAGAATCCTGAGGGCATAATTCTCATTGCAGCCTCTGGCTAAAATCAGTCACTCCTAGGGCCCTCCGGGCCCAGGGCTAGACTGCAGCCACCACCTTCTCGCGCTGTGTCACAGGCCAGGGGTGTGTCAGGTTCACTCTGGGGCACCAAGTAGCCCTCCTCCGTGTTAGCCGCACCTCAGGGTGGGTACCGTGAGTGCTTCAGCTGAGGTACAGTAGGTGAACTGGGCTTAAATTTCACAAGAGCCTGACCCAAGGCTGCCATTCAGTGGGACAAGGCACCAGGGGACAGGCGAGGGGGCACTGCCCCTCCCTCCCTCCCCCCTGGCTCACAGACCTGTTCCTAGATGCTCCCACCTTGTCACTCCATCCAGGTGTTGACTGTGTGAGGTCCTCTCACCTAGGTGTGACCCTCCAGGGCCCAAAGCACCTGGGCTGTGGGAATGGAAGGACCCATGCCAGGAACCCTTCCTCCCACATCTTGCCCCTGCTGGGCTGCCCAGTGGGACAGGGATCAGTGTCCTCTGGGCTGAGCCAGGTTGGGAGAAAGTGAGTGTGAGGTGCCATTGAGTTCTGGTGCTACTTGGCACCAGAAGGAGCGGAGGATTAGGGACACAAAAGAACTTTCCAAAGCTGGTCACCCTCCTGTTGGTCCATCTTGGGAACTGTGTGGCCTTGGTTCACCACCTCTGAGCTGAGGGGCTGCTGTCCCCCTCTGCTAACTCCCAGTGTCCTCTGGCTGAACCCCAGGGACTCCCCAGCTCCTCAGTTCTGATCTCTGCCTTCCTGGCCCAGCACTGTATCTGTACCTTCTCAGGGTCACTTGGTTGGCCCTGTTCATTTTGTATCTTTTCCTCCTAGAGACATTAGCAACACTCTTACCCTGTCAGGGCACCTTCTGGTGCTCCTGAAACAGTGCCCAGGGTGTCTCTGCTTCCCACAGTGGGGGGGATCTCCTCAGACCTTGGCGGAAGATGTTTCAAAAGGCCCCCAGTGAAGAGGACTGGGCAGGCCACACGTGGTGGTGTTGGTGGTGGTGTTTTCCAGTCCTGGGGCTTGAACTCAGGGCCTGGGCACTGTCGCTAGGCTTCTTTTGCTCGAGGCTAGCGCTCTACCACTTGAGCCACAGTGCCACTTCCAGCCTTTTCTGTTTATGTGGTTCTGAGGAATCGAACCCAGGGCTTCATGTGTACTAGACAAGCACTCTATGCCCCAGACTGCCCAGCCCTGTGTGTCCTGCAAAAGCTGTCACTGTCATACCCACACTCCTGGGTCCCTGTGGGTCACAGCCTAGCCTAGTGAGCACCCACAAGCCCCAGTGCTGTGTCCCCTCAGGGCCCACCTTGTCCTTCATAGCTGTCCTGTGTCTTGGCCTAGGACCCTTGCTTAGGGGCTGAGAACCCAGTTCTCCTGGGGCTGGGAGCCTGATGGCGATTGAATGGCCTTGTTTGCATTTTGTGAGCCACAGTATCCCCTCATGGGATGGAGGAGTTGGTGTCCTGTTGGAGCATCTGTGTTCATTTCCTGAGGCTGACTATGCTTGAAAGAGTAGAAATTGCCTGATATAGGTAGTTTGCAGGCTCATGTCTATAATCCAGTACAGGAAGCTGAAATCTTGAGGATCATAATTTGAAGCCTGCCAGGGCAGAAAGAGAGTGAGTCTATAAGACTGTTATCTCTGATTAACCAGCAAAATGCCAGAAGTGGAGCCGTGGCTCAAGTGGTAAAGTGCCAGCCTTGAGCAAAAAAAAAAAAAGCCAAGCAAGAGTACAAGATCCTGAGTTCAAGCCCCCAAGCCTGCAATTTAAAAAAAAAAAAAAAAGTAGTTCCTGCAGCCCAGAAACATGAGGACGTGGCGCACAGGGACGTGCTTTTTTCTGAGACTCTAGCAGCATCATTCCTGCCTCCTCCAGCTCCCAGCGCCACTTCAACTCTGTGTGCCTGGCCTGTGGCTGCTTCGCCACAGTCCCTTCTCACACGACATCAGTCATATTCCATTGAGGATCTTCCTTATTCCATCCATTCTGCTGGTATTTTAACCACATCAGCAAAGACACCCCTCCTTTCCAAATGAGATTACAGTCCGTTCCCAGCATTATAACCTTTAGTCTGGGTCGTTTATAAATGGCAGAAAGGTGTTGATATGGTTCTAGAGGCTGGAGAGTCAGTAATCAGGGTGCCAGCAGATGCAGTGCCGGCTGAGTGCTGCTTCCTCCCAAATGTAGCCTCTGTGGGTCCTCACTTGATAGGAGGGGGGCCCTGACCGCCTCATCTTCTGGAGCTCCACCTCTTAATACCCTCACTAGACATCTTCTAGTGGTGGATGGGGGGAGGGGGGATCTTCAGTCCTGAGGCTGCGGTGAGTATGAATTGCTGGTGACCTACAACAGAATTCTTGTTTTCTTTCAGGTCCAGAGGGGTCTTGGGAGGACCATGGGGTGGGTCTGAGGATGAGCAGGTGGGCTCTAAGCTGAGCACGTGCACTGGCCCTGCCTGCCACAGCCCGTGGTCACCGTGTCTCCCCTCCCTTTTCAGGGTGCAAGATCAAGGCCCTGCGCGCCAAGACGAACACGTACATCAAGACTCCGGTGCGTGGGGAGGAGCCGGTCTTCATTGTGACCGGCCGCAAGGAGGACGTGGAGATGGCTAAGCGCGAGATTCTCTCGGCCGCTGAGCACTTCTCCTTGATCCGCGCCACGCGCAGCAAGGCGGGCGGGCTGCCGGGCGCCGCCCCGGGCCCGCCCAACCTCCCCGGCCAGACCACCATCCAGGTGCGGGTGCCCTACCGCGTGGTGGGGCTGGTGGTGGGGCCCAAGGGCGCCACGATCAAGCGCATCCAGCAGCGGACGCACACGTACATCGTGACGCCCGGGCGCGACAAGGAGCCCGTGTTCGCCGTCACCGGCATGCCCGAGAACGTGGATCGCGCGCGCGAGGAGATCGAGGCGCACATCACGCTGCGCACCGGCGCCTTCACGGACGCCGGGCCTGACAGCGACTTCCACGCCAACGGCACCGACGTCTGCCTGGACCTGCTGGGGGCGGCCGCCAGCCTCTGGGCCAAGGCTCCCCACCCGGGGCGGCGGCCCCCCACG